AGAAAAGGTAATGTTGCATGTCCATGCTAAGTTTCCTGTGAATTTGGTGTCACAGTGGCATGGGCTGTGCCAATGTTTTTCCCTGCCAACATCCTAATGCCTATAAAACATTGCTTCATGAACATTTTTTTAGTCTCTTGAGTATTTATGTATCTGGAGGGAACAAAGCCTTGTAGACAGTATGACCAGTGTTATATTCTTTCTCCTAGTATTTTATCCTTTTAGAATGCTTCTCAAAAGCAAATCTTGGTTCCTTTATTTTTTCCCAGGCCTGGAGTTTGTCTCTTGGGGATTATTTTATTTAACAACCAAAGTGCTCAACCCCCAAGTTCTTTAACACTTTCTGTAGTTTAACTTTGATCAAAGCCACTATTTATCTGCTGCCATTTTGCAGCTTGCTGAAATTTTCCAATATAAGTAGGTTTAAACTTGATTAGACTCTGCATTGCCCCTTTTCTAATCCAGAATTGTGTCAGCAAGATGTTTCTGGAACAAAGAACAATTTTCCAAGCATCCCTTCCACATTTCCACTGATGTTTCTTTTTCTCTAGAGGTCTGCAGAGATTCCTGTAAATGAATGCAAGTGATTTACAAATGTTGCCTATTGACTCACTGTATTGGGAAGCTTTCAGTAGGAGGGGAAATTGTCACTTCATAAATAAAACATTAATAATGAAACACATTTCACATAAAAGTGGCTTTTTAACCATTTTGGTGTTACGGTATCATGAGACATGAGGTTTCCTCAGCAGCACCAAGTCATGGTCCTTGATCCTTCAGTTATCTGAGCAGGACCAGAGGTTTACCCAGCCAGAGGATTTTCTCAGGGCTTTTTATGGATTCCCAGCAGTGGAGCCTGTTCTTGGGGATTGTGCCCGGAATTCAAACTATGCCCCTGCCCAGCCTGAGCAGATTCAGTCCTGTTTGTTCTCTTCAGATCTGTGTTGCATTGACATTCCTTTCCTTGAGTGTTCTCTGCAAGGATTTCTCCCTCTTTAGGGTTTTGTGAACGTTTTGGGATGTGTAAAGTCTGTTCTGGTGGTAAATAAATGCTCCAATCCTGACATAAAGCTCAGGAGGAATTCACTCCTCACCTTCCCTGGTAGTGCCATCCTGTCACCACTTGTGTTGACTTTTGTTGCTTTACACAGCTTCAGCTGTACTTTAAACAGGATCTTGGGTGTGTATTGTGACACTGCACTATTTTATTTTTTTAAATGAAAAATTACATAATTTGGATTTTTTTTCAATTTTAAGTATGCATAAGGCAAGAATGGGTAATACAATCATACACTGCAAGTACATTTGAATGTTAGGATCATGTGGATCCTAACATTCAAATCCTATTTGTTGTGGAATGTCATCTCAAACCAAATTGTTATTTAGTATTTGTTTATTTTAGCTGTTTTGTTAGGAGTTCCATTTTCTAGTGCAGGAAAAACCTTTGTTGATGCTGCTGTAGAGTCTGTCATATTAGCATGTGCCAGCAAATCAATCAGTGTTGTAGAAGCAAGAACCAGACATGTAAGGACTAGTTTTCTGGCTATTTCTTTTCAGGAAATTTTCCTGCTATTTTTGGTTAATTTGTTTCCTAACTCATTATTTTTAGAGCTGTCATACAAATTATACCTATTTAACTTAAAAAAAAAAAAAAAAAAAGCCAACCCAACCCTTTTGCTAACTTGATTTTTTTAGTGGCCTCTGAAGCCCCTGTTTTACCTAAATACATAACAGATCTTGTGGTTTTACTTGCCTTCCCTGAGAGCAGCCCCAGGCTACATTCCATGACTCAAACGGGATGCTGAGGATTTCTTGTGTTATTCCTTTTCTTAAATATTATTTCAGAGTTGTGGTTAGTGTAGGTGTACTGGGGAGGAGGGAGAATCTTGGGGTTTTTGCAACCAGCTACTATGTCTTAATTCCAAAATCAGTCGCTGCAGTAAGGAGGCTTCTGATACAGCAGGAGGTGAGCTCTGCAAGGCTGCTTCTGGCTCTGCTTGGGTGAGCACCTTCCTGTTCACAGCTGTGTGAGCTGGCTCAGCATTAGTCCCAGCATGTGTGAAGATGTATTTGATGTGGCCTAAAGACAGAAGGTTGTGTATTAATGAAAGGCTTTCATATTTGACCATCTCAAGTCACGTAGTTCACTTTTTAAAACTCAATGAATACAAACAAACAAGAAATAGGAGACCAAAAGTAACAGCAAAAACCCATCCCAAAGAAGCCCCACTGTGTCTTAGTATAATGATCTATTGCTCTTTGCTTGTTTGTAGATCCTGATTTTGAAACCCCAATAAGTTCAAAGAATGTGGAATTGAATTCTTTTTCCATCCCACATGGGCAATTAATAACCATACTGAGAAGATTGCTTGAGTATTGCTGGTTATAGTTCAGATCAGCAGGACAGGCATAAAGGCAGTTTTAAATATTTCATTTGCTCATTTGGCCAAACAAGGCACAAACACTGATCTTTATCCCATTATTGTAATTCATGTATTTTTCTTAGAAGTGAAAACTGCCTTTAGAACATGGGGAGGACTCTTCTAAACAATTTGTGACTGTTCTGGTAAACTAAACCCTGGGCTTTCTATTATCAACATATTTATGCTAGGGCCAGGAACTGGTTTTATTTTCTCATCCCATTTTAAGATCTGATTGCAGAATCTACTGCAAATGTAAAACATTATGGAGTTTGAAAGGTCTTTGAAATAATTGCTTTACACCAAAGTGTCACAGTTGTAGTGAGAAACAGTAATTAGGAAGAGTTTTTGTGGCAGTTTTACTGTGCTGTGACTTTCCTTATTAAAGCACTGACTTTTTTCACTTTATATCTACATCTAGTTTTTTTTACATCTATGTCTAGTTTTTTGGTAATAAAGAATGTCTTACTGCTTTTTCTGTAAACTTATCATTGCCTTGTGATTTGTCTATTGAATCAACTGCTATTTCATCAAAAAAAAAATCTTGTACAATTGCTGATTCCATTTTTCAATTTCCCAGCTTTGTAGGCATAAGTTGAGTGAGCGATATGATGTTCTGTACTGAGCAACTGTTACTTTTGAAAACAAATATAGAAACATTCCCCAAAGTGGGTTTGGTTCAGATACAGTGAGATGGCAGATAATTCCCCCTCTCTGCTTCACTTTCTTTTCCTTCTCCCTTTTCCATTAGAAAGATATTTTCCTCACTGTGCTCTAATACAGTTGAAGGCTACTGACAGTCCCCCAGTTGCCAAGAAATTGGAAATCTTCAAAATTAAATTATCCAATGAGCGTAATTCCAGCAGTGGGAGACAGAAAACTGAGGAGTGAAATTAAGATTTTTATTAATTTTCTATTTCCTTTAATAGCAAAAGCAAACAGTTGTGCAATTTGCAAATACTAAAAATTAAGTAAAATCTTCTTACCTACTTCTGGAAGAAATTTATCTATCTTTTTGATCATGAACAGGTCATAAAAGCAGGGAACAAGCTGACACCTAATACCCTATATAAATGTAATAATCTCTTTAAAAGAAATCAGAACCAAATTTAGATGCGTATTTTGTGTTTGCTGTAGTTTTTGTGTGTGTGCAGTAAGGGAATACTCAATAGCAATAAAAGGACAATCAAATTTGCATCTGGTGTGCTGCTTCCATCATTGGTATTCATAATCCTGTGATCACACAAACACATATGCATCTTATACCTGCCAAGAGGAGGGTGCTCTGAAAATCAGCAGCACTAAATTTACTCTATACATCTTTAAGATGCAATTTAAAGGATTTACTGTTCTGCTACAGTTCATGTGTCAGTTAAGATTCTGGTAGGGATGTGATTTTTTTTTTTTTTAAACTCTTTTCAAAGTGAAACTTTGGAATGTGTCCCCTTTCTTTGTACTGAATTGATAGTAAAGGAATATGAAAGACTGATATCCCAAGAGATGGAGGAACCTTGAAGCAACAAAAATAACACATTTTCCTTCTTAAAAATAATTCTACTGTAAAGAAAAAGGGTGGGGAGACACAGAATATATGCAACAACTATTTTTAAGGGTCTTTCACTGGTCTGGATTTAAAAACTTAATTATTTGCCACTTCAAACCGGAATGAAAGTATTTTACCCAAAATACTTGAAAGCTCTGAAATATAGCCAAGGAACACCCATGGTTGTTGATAAGAGGAATGCCCACAGTGGTGTCTGTGTGTATTTTAGTCACCAGGCTGCTGCTGTTCTTTCTGAGTCTATTCAGAGCTCTTAGAGTGATGGCCAGGAGTTCAATCCTGTGCTGCACACGCACTGGTGGAGCCAAAGTGCAGCTTTCATATGCAGAATGAAAAGAGCTTTTGCTTGTGTTGTTAGCTTGTGTTACAGGTTCAGCAAAACTGAAGTGCTGCATTTTTGGCTGTCTGCTTTCATATCTTGGCTTACAGTTTTTAAGGCTGAGACAAAACATGATCTAGCCTTGTATATTACTGTCTTTCTTCTGTCGTTCAATGTCTCTTTACACTGTAAAAGAATAACTTTATGGAAGTGGTATAGAGTTAAGTAAGATAGAGATGTCTGTGCAGTCCGTGGAGATCCTCACTAGCTTGCAAAGTCATGTAAAAATTATCATTCATGTAGGAATTATAGAGAAGTAGTGTTTCATTGAAGAAAAAAAAAAATCACGACAGCCACATAAATGTAAAATACAGTGACACCATGAGTTAAAGAATAAATGTTACCAAATAGCATTGATTATTAAATTGCCAATGAAATTGATATTAATGAGACATTAATCCTTCTTACAATAGATGGTTGGATTCAATCAGTGATTGAGAAGCAGTTCTTTAAGTGTTACAAAATGTTGAAGTCCAACTTAGAAAGCCAACTGAACTTGTAGTCAGTTTCTAAAGCATGGTTAAAGATTTTTGTTAAATCTGCTCCACTTCCTGCTCATTGCAAAACGAAATGACACATTACTATTTGCTGACTCTCTTCATCTCTAACCCATTCCCATAACACTGTTTTTCCATTTCAGGAGTTTTATGAACACACAAAAACCCTTTGGCAGGACGAAGGTGTGAAAGCCTGCTACGAGAGATCCAATGAGTACCAGCTGATTGACTGTGCACAGTAGTGAGTATTGCTGCACTGCCCCTGCCTTTGGGGACTGCTTTGGTGTCCTGATGCTTTCCCTGATCCCTGGAAAAGGAGTGTGTGGTGCATAATGAATTCTTGCTCATCAGTGGTTCAGAGAGGTGGGACAAACTGGTGTTCAATTAGACAGTATCTACAGTGGAGTATCTACATCAATATCTACATCTACAAGTGCTTTCAAAAGGTTTTAATAAGGCCCCTTGGTAAGAGGACAGTTTTATTGTCTGCAAGGCCAAATTTCTTGCCTTTTCCACTTGGCCCATCCTTTTCAGATGTCAGCTTCTGGTGCTGCACAAGTTGCAGTAAGTTGGAGAGAATGCTGGTGAGAAGCAAACCTGTTTGTCACTTTGGTTTCTAGTGCAGTTTATTTAACTGGGAACAAAGAGATGGGAGTGACAGTCATGGGAAGCAGCCTGTGATCAGTCACCAGAGTTCTGCTTGTGTGCTTTCATGCAGATATCTGAGAAAGTCATTCTCTTCTGGTATTTATACTGCTGGGATAATTAGTATTGTCTTGAGAGTCTGCTGCATGTTTGCAGTTATTTATCACATCCAGCAATATACTGTGCCTCAGGATTTTTTATGGCAAGGTGCTCGAGTTACTTGTGACCATTCCTGGTACTTTTGTTGTGCATACTCAAGCAAGGACTTAAATTTGAAATATTAATGGTTAAAACTGTTCTTATTTAGTTTATATTCTCTCTGCTTCTTTTGGAGAAGCTGGAATAAGGTCAAGAAAATGAAGGTTTCTTGTTTCACACAGTGATGGTAACTGCAGTTTGTCTAATACTGCATCTCCTAAAGAACATCTCATGAAATAAAATCTGTTAGGTTCTTCTTTTGTTTGTTTGTTTAGGTAGAGTTAAAGGTAAATCAACAATTAGCTCTGTTTGAAAAGAGACAAGAGAGGTAATTTTAGTGTGCCTTGCACAGCTCCAGGTTTGTAGGAGCCTCTTTGAAGTTTTGCCATTGTTTCCAGAACGAATTTGTTTGATGTGTAACGATGTCTTTTGCATTAAGTGACTAATGTTTGATCATTTGGCATGGAGCTTTTTGCAAGTTCACTTGCTACAAAATAAAGAAGTACAAAGATTTTCATTTTCAGAAAAGCATCCAAAAGTAACTTTTGTGTTTCTGATGGAAAGTTGATAGAAGTGAGGGAGAGCTGGGTTTGTTTCTGGTTAGTGCTTGTTAATTCTATGCTGGGAAGAAGGAAATTGTGGAGCACTAAGAGGGTTTTGTGTTGCCCTTTTTCTGCCCTGAATGCACAGAAGAAAGCTGAAATTCTTGTCATCCCTGGACATTGACTTTTCTCTGGATCAGCAGGGGAGGTGGCCCTCATGATGGCTTTACCATCCTGCTCCATCTAGTGGAACACTTAATTCTACATCATGGGCTGTTGAGCCAGAAATAAACTTTGAACATTGATGACAAATCAGATTTTTTTTTCTCCTGAAGGAAATAAAATAAAAATTGCTGTCTCCTTCTAAAATATTTAATAATTCTAATATTTATTAAATATTATAGTAACATATATAACACTATAGTCTTGCAGAAGGAGATTTCTAATTGTTAATTTTGACAGGTCTTGTCCTTTCTGGCATTTTTGACCATGCACTGATGTTGTTTCTAATAACAGAATATGCATGGTAGGAGTTTTTTAATGGCAAAATGTTATCTTGGAGGTTAATTTTGAAATGCTGATCTTGTTTTTATCACATTAAGTTTTCAAGGGACCTAATAAAAATTGCTTCCTATAAAATCTGACTTGATTGATACATTTAAATTAACGTGGTGAGCATGTGCTAACAAAAATATGGCAAATACAAAATATATCTGAGATTTATTAAAGAGGCCTATTATAATATGAATGTGCAAGTTACTGTTGTTAGTGCTAATAGAAATTAAAACAGAATGTTGAGCAAATTCTATTGGGGTTGTCCATTCTTTCAGAGAGGAGTTTTGGGTTCTGAACACTTTTCCCCTTTTGAAGCCCCCATTTAAAACAAGAAAGTTACTCTGAAAATGGGAGATGGAAAAGTGGCTTTTCTCTTTCAAGATCAATCTGACTGCCAGAAATCCTTTCTTGCTCTTGAAAATTGAATAAAATCTTAAATATTAATGGATTCTTTGCTCAGTGATTTGTCTTAAAATTTCAAACATTATTTCTTGTTCACAAAAATTAGCTTTTTAGAGTTGTTTGTAAAAAAATTTAATTCTTTTTAACTGTCATTTTTTGAAGGCTGAATTGCTTAGTGTAAAGTTTGTCTTAGTATGGATTTATTTAACATTCTGAATTTTTTTAAAAAAGAGATTTTGTCAGTGTTGTGACACATTTTTATACAGGAAGCTTTGCGAGGTGATTCTGCCAAACATTGAAAAATCAGTTTTTACTGTCTTTTAGCAGTTCTGCTTTCCATGGATAAAAGCTGGTTCTGCATGTAAACAGCTTAGCTGTAGTCCAGGAGAAGGAAAGGCTTTCCAGGAGTCAGGGATGGAGAATCTGGAGCAGAAAGGTGCTGAAGAGATGCAGCTTAAACCTCTGCAGAGTTTGTGCTCAGGAAAGATGGGAATTTGCAGATGAGTCTGGAGCTGTTCTGGATGGACAGGGCATGAAGGAAAAGCCACTTTTTGCTGCATGTTCATTCCCAAGAAAATGGGAACAAATGTAATTCTCAATGTTTTATCTCCCTGATTCCAGTGTGGGGGTTTAGAGTCCAAAAATGGTATTTTTCACCTGTTCTGGAGCAGTAGCTTTAAATGTACAGTGCTTCCTTCTGCATCTCTACAACTTCCAGTGTCTTCCCATAAGAAGTGACATTATTTCACACTCTGATTGTTGCTCCACCGAGTCTCTGGTTGTGTTGGTTGAGAAAAGAGAACTTTAGCAAAAGCCACAGGTACCATCCTGTCTTCCCATTTTCCTGCAGCTGTGATTTTTGGAGGTGTGAAGCTGGAGGGGTTGGCCAGTAACCTCTTCTGCTGGAGAGCCCTTCTGGTATCCTGCCCTGAGCCCTCAAGCTCACTGGCTAAATGGAAATGTCACTTTGGAGGAGCTCTGCTCATTTTGAAAGAGTAGCTTCCTCTGCTCATCATGAGCTTTACTGTACTTCCTGCCCAGGCATATTTTACAGTCTTGAGAGGCAGAGAAAGGAAAGAAGGCTTGTTTCCCTTTTCTTAACTGGCCTTACTAAGAAATCAGTTTCAATTCTGCATTTAGAATGACGTGGTCTGTGACGTTGTCACCAGTTTGTATTTCAGCAGTGAGGAGGGAGCTTTATCTGTGAGGAGACCAAATTTCATCGCTCTTGCATCTTGCAGAGATGTACACAGAGTGTTTGTATGAAGCTGCCATGTTATCCTGCTCTCGGCTAATAATAAACAGAAGAATACAGAAATGTCTAGAATACAGAAAATCCCAAATGATGTTAAATTATTTACCATCCATATGTCTTCCCTGGGGGCACCAGGTCACATTTTATTTAGAATATATTACTTATTAAAAATCTAGGAGCCATTTCCACTGTGATGTACCAAAGCCTGTTTGTCAAATCTGCCTTCTGTCAAATACAAACAAACAGGATCTCTTTGAAGCGCTGTTGTCGCCAATGCTTCTACCTCAGGTTTCATTGGAGCAGCTCTGCTTTTAAAGCCTCAGGAATACCCAGCAGAGCAGTCAGAGCCGGCAGGATCTGCCCTGGGAATGTGCTGCTTGTGGCATGAGGACATGAAGGCAGGTTCTACCAAAGCCTGAAGAAACCCACACTGATGTCAGGAGCCTTTGGGGTACCGATTCAGCAGCGCCTGGGTACGACATGAGCCTTTTAGGGCATTTCCTAGAGTTGCTAATACCAGGCTGTGCCCACAGCTCCCTGAATTTTCCTTGGCCACCCATTTGATTTAGTGCTTCGTTTCACACTGTGCTTTCCCCGTGAATCCCCTGGCTGGCTCTTCCTGGTTTGGGCTGGGTGGGAAGGGAAACGCGGCGAGCGGCGGCGTGCCGGCCCACCGGGCACCGCCGTGGCAGGAAGGGCGGGCGGCACGCGGAGCCCTTGGCACGCGAGCTCCGCTCCTCTCTGCGCTGCCATGCCGGGCGAGGACACGGCTCTGGAGGTGCACGGTCACGTTGCTGGAACTCTCTGGTGCCTTGAAACCGTGCCAGGCTCCTCCAGAAGGGTTTTTATGAGGAGCATTTTTTAAGATGTTTGTTTTTAAAATACTTATCAAAGAAAGGCAGGGAGTGCAGCTATTAGCCGACTGCTGTGCAGGGCTGCTGAAGGATCAGCACATGTGGACACGCAGGCTTTTTAATTTCTGATGTTGTGAATTCTTTATATTTTTATTAAGATTTATGGTGTGTTTTATTTCTGGATTTGTAGACTTGCAGAGAGCAGTTAAGAGCCCCAATCTGTGCACTTAATGATTTTCTTCCATGTTGATTTCTCTTCATGACAAAGTTCCTTTCATGGAACATGTAGTAAAGTGTGTTTGCTCAAAGTCTCACCTTTTTAAACAGTGCCTGATTTATCAGGGGTGCTATTGCTGGTCTAATTCCTTATCCATATTATTTATTACTTTTTTTTTTCCTTTTACTTTCTTTCCTTTTGATGTGATTTTGACAGAGTGGTTTCTCTTGTCTCCAGCTCCTCTGAGTGCTCATATTCAACAGGACAGGAATTTCCCTGGCCTGTATTCCTGGCATACATGAGCTTCTTACGGACAGTGACAATTACATTGTTAAACATTCCCATGAGGAAGAATAATAATTCAAGTCCCCTTTTGCTGGAATAAAACTGACACAGCCTACTGCTCTGTGAATTCCTTGGCAAGCCAAAGAGTAGACCCAGGTCATCTAACTCCTAATTTTTGGTCTTGATTACCAAATCCATGTTACTCTATTCCAGAGTGCTTAGAGATAACTAAATTAGTGCCTTTTTCCTGTTCATCTTCAGCTTGAGGGACTAGAAGATCATGTTTGA